AAAAAAAATTATGTGTGTCGTTATATTTTTTTTTGTTAAAATTATCTTTTGTAATCCTTTTCAAGGTTTTTCTTATCTTCTACTTATTATCTTGATTGATTTGCATTATAGTAGTTGAAATAAAAATATTATTTTTTAAAATAAAATATAATTTAAGTCCATTTATCTTAAAGTAGAATCCAACTTAGGTTGATTATTAGTTAAAATATTTATTGTATTTAATATTTAGTATATTACTATTTTGTAAAAAGTAAAATTGAATATTTAAGGATTCGAAAACATAAGATGCAACTTGAAAATATAATCGAAATAGAAATCACAACCTAAAATTAAGTAATGTAAATAAATCAATCCACAACCGTAACAATCAAACAATTCTCATGTTACATTTATTTAAAGAATCATATTCAAGTTTAAAAAAATATCTAATTTAATTAATCAATTATATCGATTATACAAATTAAATAAAAATATTTGTTATTCTTAATTTGATTTTAGAAATCATAAATGCAATTTGCCAATTTGCAATCATAAAAAACAAAACCGAAATTAGAGCAAAAACCAAAAGTAATAAATAATCGGTGCAAAACTTAATTCAATATGTTTGATTTTAATTATGTGAATCCATCTTCAAAGATTAGTTCTTTATTAATGAGAAAAAAACACACATAAGAAAGCATAATACAAAAAATGAAGAACAAAGATTAAAAAATAAAAATAGAAGAAGAAGAAGAGACAACTCTTTAAATATCTTAAATTTAACAAATGATTTATGTCTATTAGACTGCTGCACTATTTAAATGTTCTAAAATTTAATGTAAGTTATAATTCGGTTAATAAGCCCAATTAAAAAATAAAAATTAATTAGAATAGATTCTTTATAAATTTGTCTAAACTTTTAAGAATTATAAAAGATATATTTTCACTGAAATTGTAAAATTTAATACAACTAGAAGCACTCAAAATAATATCTATGAAAAAAGTTATAAACCAAGAGCAAAGATATTATGAGTACAATCTTAAAACAAATATGTAGATTGAGGCTAATTTATTATGATTAGAAAGAAATTATTTAAAAAATGAAAATAAAAATATAAAAGTACATAATTATAAGGCTATGTTTGGACTGAGGGATGAATTTGAAAGAGTCGAAAAGAAGAAGAAAAGGTAGAAAGTGAAGATGTTTAGATTATATGGATTTGAGAAAATGAAAATTGATGAAAATAAGGAGAAAAAAAAATGAAAAGTTGGTTGTTTGAATTAAATGAATGGTGAAAATGGAAGAGAAATAAAGAAAAAGTTTCTAAGTAATTTGAAGGGTAAAAAAAATTAATTGATAAAATTTTAAGATTACAATTTTATCTTTATGATTAAAATCAATTTAAAATAAAATCTAAATGGTTGGAGGTAATTTAAAATAAAGTGCGAGTGATTAATTTAAATAAAAAAGTTTTAATTGGTGTAATTCTGAATAGATATTCTACAAGTTGTGACGAGCTCTTATGTGATCTCATTCATACCTGATCCTTATATATATTACTGGCAATTTGTAAAAATGTAACGAAAACAACAACCATGGTGAATTTGCTTACAAAGACTCTTGCTCTTTACTAACATCAGAATCAACATTCTTCATCACTTATATATTCCTTATCGCCCTTCTTCGCAAACAAGGAATAGAATAGTAATATCTTTCTGAAAAAAATGTTCCGAAATTTGGGTTAAATTCTTTTGGCAAGTGGATTTGGATTTTCAATTGTTACAAGTAGGTACATTAAATGATAATTTGTGAATGATTTGTTTAGGAACATATTGATATGTAATTTGGCATATTCTCAATAATATTAATTTAGCATTATGGGGTTCAAATTGGTGTATATTAGCTCTTAATTAAAGTTGTAACATAATGAATATTAATAGAACAAAAAAAAATTAAAATAAATATGTAAGCATGATCATCTATTTAAGTTATTTTTAAAATAAATAAATCAGTAATACTAATAATAACAACAACACTAGAGAATTATGTATTTCTTTTTTTAAAAGGGAATATTATAATAACTTGGTTTTTGTTCTTCGTTTTTTCTTCTACCCTAGATTTAAAGAATAGTAATAATATATTTAATAAAAATTAACATACTTCATAGTAAGATATAAATGAAAAAATCACTTACTTAGATGTAGCATATTTGTAATCCTCAGTTTTAAATATGCATATTGGGACAATATGCAATTTTAAGATTATTTTTAAAATTAGTTTCTTTTGAAAATAAACAGCATAATAAGAAAAAAAATTCAAATGATCTTAGAAACAATTTAAACAACATGACTGTCTTGAGGTGATAGATTTTCTATCTGGCATCATCAATCTTCACCTGGGAGAAAAGATAATCCACAGTGCTATCGGATTCATCATCCCTTACAATGGTATCATCCGCTTCACTCAGTGTGGAGAGTGAAGGAAGACGCCGAACATTGGGAAGTTGAAGTGATGCGGAAACACTACTAGAACTATCCTCATACGGCTCTCTCTGTATTGCATTTGCACCTTTCTGAAGCTGCAGCGCATACTCCAAGTCCCACAACACATCGCCCATGGTTGGCCTATCAGAACCATCTTCTTGCAAGCATTTTTCTATCGTCTCACTAAATTTTCTGAGTGAGTTTTGATCAATTTGGTCCTTGATGGAAGGATCGATGATATCTTGGAGTATCCCCTTGTTTTTGCAAAGCATTCCCCATTCCGCCAAGTTTATCTGATCTGTTGGAAGAGATGGGTCAATCGCTTCTCTTGCACACAAAACTTCCAAAAGAACTACCCCAAATGAGTAGACATCAGATTTTTCTGTCAGCTGTTGCGACCTGAAATACTCAGGATCAAGATACCCAAAAGTGCCTTTAACACCAGTGGTGACATAAGGTTGAGTATCAAGAGGACCTGACCTTGAAAGACCAAAATCAGCAACCTTAGCAACATGGTTCTCATCAAGCAATATGTTTGTGGACTTAACATCACGGTGAATGATTCCCCCAGCTGCTCCTTTGTGAAGGTAATGAAGACCCCTGGCAGAATCAATGCAAATTTGAAGCCTCACCTTCCAGGGCAGACTTGGCAACTTTGTTTTATACAAATGATCCCTGAGTGTCCCTTTTTCCATGTATTCATAGACCAGAATCATCTCGAACCTCTCATCACAATACCCAATTAAGGAAACGAGGTGCTTGTGGTGAATCTTAGACAAAACCATGATCTCTGTCTGAAATTCTGGAAGGCCTTGACCTGACCCTGGCTGGCTTCTTTTCACAGCCACCGTCATGCCATTCTTGAGAACTCCCTTGTAGACGTTGCCAAAACCACCCTTGCCAATTAGCTGGCTTGCGTGGAAGTTCTTTGTTGCCAGTTGAAGATCAACTAATGGAATTTTGAGCTCTAGGTTTAGGTTGGGAAGGGGAGAGCCGTGATTAGTTATATCAGTCAATCTGCCGTGAGAACTTCGTGCAGCATTAAACACAATTGTCAACCAGTCCGAATTCTCAACGGGCTTTTCCTTCCTCATTTTGGAACGCCAAAGAAAGCCAAGTAGCACCACAACAACAACCAAGACTAAACCACCGAGAACGGAACCCAGCAACACGGGAAGACCATTATGCTTGGAACCGGGTTCGTCAGGGGGGACAGAATTTGATGATTCAATCACTTTCAATATTTCTAGCCCGTTTAAAAAGGCATTTGGTATTGCAGCGGTTTCATTAGGTGTTAGGCTGACCTTAATATGTCCAGAGTTGTCAGAGTTCACCATGAAATCATAATAATAAGGGGCAGGCGACACGTTAGACACATTTCCGTCACTATTTACCTGCATGACATGGAAGTCATAAATGGAAAGTTCGAAGTATGTAAGGCCAAATTGTGAACTGACATAGTCACAGAAGTGAAGACGAAGGAAATGATCTGTGTTGTTGTCCACGGGAAGAGCCCATGTTATGTTGAAAAGGCTAAGGTCTTCGGCACTGGCAGAGATGTTAGACTCTTTAGCAGTTCCGTACACCTCAGATGGCGCAGTATAACTAGTTGCGTTTGGACCATCGGAGTCATCAACTACACGGGGAACAATTTGACCCAGGTAAGGAGAACGATTCTTGGCGTTTTCCGGATAAGTGAGATATATATCATCTGGAATCCAGTTTCTCAATAGGATATCTTTCATTGTCTGGCCACCAACATTAAGCCTGTGTTTGGTCTCCAACACCCGAGAGTACAAACCTACCCTGTCGGAAGATGAACCCCAAGTAGGAGTGAAACGCCTCACCTTGTCGGATATCAGATGGAGGGGTAGTACGAACAGTTCTAAGGCATTAACAAACGCAAAAGATGATTCCAGAGGTCTGAAAGTTACTTTTATGCTGGGGGTACTGATTTCCATGAAAAACTCTTTTACTAAAGCAGAGTTGTTATTGGTATCATTTCTACCATTAAAATTTTGCAACAACCAAAAGCCAGGAACTGAAACGTTGAACCTGGCAGAGGAAAGATTAGTGGGAGAAGAGAAAGGGAAGAAGTGGAGGCGTACCAGGTAGGTGCCATTATTATCGATGTTGAACTTATACCAAGACTCCCTTCGAAAAATCCTTGCTGTTTGGTAAAGAGGAGAAGGTACCGATGACTGGTTCCTTTCTGTGTTACTGCTGCTAAAAGTGGCTTGAGGTGTTGATTCACCAACGTAGACCTTTCCACTTTCGGTGACACTGTTGTCTGACCCACAATTTATGAAGTACTTATCTGGGACGTTGTAGCCCAGTGAAGCGAACTGCAGCGATGAGAGCTGAAGAAGGAAAAGAAGTGCCACACAGAGCTGAACAGTCGCCATGCAAAAATGGTAATCAATGTTTAGTTTTGCTTATGATGTTGTATCAGATATGAATAGCATGGAACTCCAACTAGAGGAAGACTTCAACACAGGTCAATGGCGGCTTTGATTTTTCTTCTTATTTTTTCTCTTTTATTTGTATTCTGAAAGTTTATTTATGTACAACGGATGAAAATGGAAATGGAAAAGTGTTGCCACAAATTTCAGAATTANATACTCAGGATCAAGATACCCAAAAGTGCCTTTAACACCAGTGGTGACATGAGGTTGAGTATCAGCAGGACCTGACCTTGAAAGACCAAAATCAGCAACCTTAGCAACATGGTTCTCATCAAGCAATATGTTTGTGGACTTAACATCACGGTGAATGATTCCCCCAGCTGCTCCTTTGTGAAGGTAATGAAGACCCCTGGCAGAATCAATGCAAATTTGAAGCCTCACCTTCCAGGGCAGACTTGGCAACTTTGTTTTATACAAATGATCCCTGAGTGTCCCTTTTTCCATGTATTCATAGACCAGAATCATCTCGAACCTCTCATCACAATACCCAATTAAGGAAACAAGGTGCTTGTGGCGAATCTTAGACAAAACCATGATCTCTGTCTGAAATTCTGGAAGGCCTTGACCTGACCCTGGCTGGCTTCTTTTCACAGCCACCGTCATGCCATTCTTGAGAACTCCCTTGTAGACGTTGCCAAAACCACCCTTGCCAATTAGCTGGCTTGCGTGGAAGTTCTTTGTTGCCAGTTGAAGATCAACTAATGGAATTTTGAGCTCTAGGTTTAGGTTGGGAAGGGGAGAGCCGTGATTAGTTATATCAGTCAATCTGCCGTGAGAACTTCGTGCAGCATTAAACACAATTGTCAACCAGTCCGAATTCTCAACGGGCTTTTCCTTCCTCATTTTGGAACGCCAAAGAAAGCCAAGTAGCACCACAACAACAACCAAGACTAAACCACCGAGAACGGAACCCAGCAACACGGGAAGACCATTATGCTTGGAACCGGGTTCGTCAGGGGGGACAGAATTTGATGATTCAATCACTTTCATTATTTCCAGCCCGTTTAAAAAGGTATTTGGTACGGGAGCGGTTCCATTAGGTGTTAGGCTGACCTTAATATGTCCAGAGTTGTCAGAGTTCACCATGAAATCATAATAATAAGGGGCAGGCGACACGTTAGACACATTTCCGTCACTATTTACCTGCATGACATGGAAGTCATAAATGGAAAGTTCGAAGTATGTAAGGCCAAATTGTGAACTGACATAGTCACAGAAGTGAAGACGAAGGAAATGATCTGTGTTGTTGTCCACGGGAAGAGCCCATGTTATGTTGAAAAGGCTAAGGTCTTCGGCACTGGCAGAGATGTTAGACTCTTTAGCAGTTCCGTACACCTCAGATGGCGCAGTATAACTAGTTGCGTTTGGACCATCGGAGTCATCAACTACACGGGGAACAATTTGACCCAGGTAAGGAGAACGATTCTTGGCGTTTTCCGGATAAGTGAGATATATATCATCTGGAATCCAGTTTCTCAATAGGATATCTTTCATTGTCTGGCCACCAACATTAAGCCTGTGTTTGGTCTCCAACACCCGAGAGTACAAACCTACCCTGTCGGAAGATGAACCCCAAGTAGGAGTGAAACGCCTCACCTTGTCGGATATCAGATGGAGGGGTAGTACGAACAGTTCTAAGGCATTAACAAACGCAAAAGATGATTCCAGAGGTCTGAAAGTTAATTTTATGCTGGGGGTACTGATTTCCATGAAAAACTCTTTTACTAAAGCAGAGTTGTTATTGGTATCATTTCTACCATTAAAATTTTGCAACAACCAAAAGCCAGGAACTGAAACGTTGAACCTGGCAGAGGAAAGATTAGTGGGAGAAGAGAAAGGGAAGAAATGGAGGCGTACCAGGTAGGTGCCATTATTATCGATGTTGAACTTATACCAAGAATCCCTACGAAAAATCCTTGCTGTTTGGTAAAGAGGAGAAGGTACCGATGACTGGTTCCTTTCTGTGTTACTGCTGCTAAAAGTGGCTTGAGGTGTTGATTCACCAACGTAGACCTTTCCACTTTCGGTGACACTGTTGTCTGACCCACAATTTATGAAGTACTTATCTGGGACGTTGTAGCCCAGTGAAGCGAACTGCAGCGATGAGAGCTGAAGAAGGAAAAAAAGTGCCACACAGAGCTGAACAGTCGCCATGCAAAAATGGTAATCAATGTTTAGTTTTGCTTATGAAGTTGTATCAGATATGAATAGCATGGAACTCCAACTAGAGGAAGACTTCAACACAGGTCAATGGCGGCTTTGATTTTTCTTCTTATTTTTTCTCTTTTATTTGTATTCTGAAAGTTTATTTATGTACAACGGATGAAAATGGAAATGGAAAAGTGTTGCCACAAATTTCAGAATTATTACGAGTCCTTACAACATTTCCTCCAACAATAAAAAAACATTTAATAATGTGATTTATGACAGTATTTTATATATATATTAAAAGAACAGAACAACTATCTTTTAATGAATGTTTGTCATTTATATTTTAGCCCATGTTTGTCATTTAAAATGTCACTTTTAATGATGTCTTACATTTTTTTTCGGCAAATTCGAAACATATATTATTTTATGAGAATAAGCAATGCAGACTTCACACAACTTTATAGTGCACCACCCCAAAACAATTTCTCTTAAGCCCTCCCAATGTAAAAAGTGAAAGTAGTCATGTTCCTTAACAACTTCATCGCGATGTAATCGAGTACGACATATGGTAATCGATTACGTAACTGTTGTCATCCCTGTCTTCATTTCAATTTCTTTATTAGTACTGTTGACTGAATTGTAAGCCGATGCATCTACCAATACAAACTGTTTTTTACAGTTTTGGAAATTTTGCGTCATAAGAAATTTGATTTCTTGGAAAAATTTATTAAACAGCTGAGCCAGAATTAGGACTTCATCATTTGTTAATTAAGAAATGGATTAATGTATAGGTTGAAGATCACAATGATCCTGAAATGGGAAAGGAGGATCAGAGTAGGATCCGTTAAGAATTGCAAAGGTAGTAAGCTTGTTTGCAGCTTCTGTGGCATGAATTCCATCCCAGCTCACGTAGTTGTAGGGGTCATTGCATGCAGTTGCTGTCACTTTGCTGCCTTTTATCACTTTGGAATTGCCACAGTAAACTTTAGGATCGAAGTTGTAGTCACCACCTCCATAGCCGCAGCAAGCTTTTGTACCATACTTAAGCCCTGTTTCACAAAGGAGATAAAAGTCAGAAAAATAATGAAGAAATTCCGGTACTCTTAAACAAGTGTAGGGATTTGTGTTTGAACCATGAGAATTGGGATGCCGGAAGAGCTCCAGCAGAACAGTGGAAGTATCCACATAAACGACAGAAGCATTGGAAAGACTTTCTCTGATTTGTCTCAGTGACTGTTTCAACATATTGTTGTATTCCCTTACTGCATTATTGTAAGAAACCAAGCATCCAAACTCATCAATGTCTGAACTGTTATGAGGAAGCTGGACCAAGAATGAAGGGTAGCATCCCACTGGTGCAAGATTAAGAACCAAAAATGTACGTCCTCCAAGATTGTATAACTCCTATAAATTCATTGAGCTAAACTCAATTATACATCTTTTCTTTCACTAATTATAGATTTTAGTTGTTATTGACTGTTATGGTAATCTCACCTTAATGGTAGCAGCAATTTGTGAAACAACTTGAGGGAGGTATTGCTGTACTCCACCTATGCCAATGGAAGCTAAGTTGGAAGTAAAATCATTTTGGCCAATGTAGAATGTGTAAAGAGACTTTCCAAATATATCTGGTGAAGGAAGCTTGGATCCTGAGGAACAATCAAAAGAAACTATTACAATGCTTTAGAATTAAAAGACAGAGTGAGAACTAGGAAGTTTATGCATTTTGTACCTTGTTCATGCACTTCATTAACTTTGGTTTTGAACTGCTTCATTTGGTTGAGCTGGATGGCAAGAGAGAAGGGACTGATCCCAGTGACAAACAAAGAAGTATTAGGTAGAAGCACAGTAGATGCCAGTGTAGCATAATTAGCTCCATGTGTATAATCAGATCCAATTGATTGCAGATATGGACTCAAAAATGGCAATCCAAGAGCTTGAGCTGCCCAATGAAATGCAACATATAGCTTCTCTAATATTAGTACTGTACTACTGATAGAATGGTTCTCATATTGCAGTGAATAAAACAGATTTTATTGAGAAAGAATATACTAAATTGACTGTTTGCTCCACATATAACAGCTCAAGCAGTAAAGCATGTCTTTAATCTATGAAAGATAAATGGCAAAATACACGAAAAAATTGTCAATTTAAAAATTTTTCTTTTCTTGAACTCCCAAAAGGAAAAAAACTGAAACATTTGAAAGGTAGGAAGGTGAACATGTAGTTCAGGAAGTCCCAGAGACGTATTAAAAAGTGACACCATTAATTACTAGGGATGTCTAGAAGATAATGACAACCCACAGCTATTCAACTCTTTCTAGCTGGGCGTTTTTTCTTGTGAGTAAGAGTGTGACAGCAATAAAGACAAGTCTTAGATTTTCTCATTAACAGACCAAAAATGTAGGATACATACAAATCTATAACAGATTAGGAGAAATTTGCTAAACTCTGTTAGATTTCCCAATTTCAAGCAGATGTATTACATCCAAAGATCAAGGCACCGACTTTATCACTATGGTGCAGTCAGTTTCTTTCTTTTGTTAAATTTCAGTAACATGTTTGTCTTGGCTGTTAGAACTTAGTACCTGCAATGCAAATCAGAAGCACTGATACTGTATGAAACACCAACGAAACACTGAAACAAAATCAATAAAATCAGCTGATCCATGTTTCCCACTGGCGCATGTTGAATTTTTT